TTCGTACAAAAATTTTCGAAAATCCTCCACTGAGCTCCAAGCCAACGGTGTTGTGTAATTGTCAGTATAAATAGGAATCAACATCTAACTTAACAGATGTCGTGGAGAAACTCGGGCACTGGGCAATGTGCTAAGTGACACAGTTAAAAAGAATTCAGTCTCTCCCTGGCCCAGAATGGAGTGGGGCACACTGCCACTTCCAGCTAATCCTGCAGCGTAGTGGCAGAAGGCTCAGCCTTGTGGTGCTTTATTTCTGAGAACTGCTTCCTTATTTGAAGGTGGAGGAGGAGCAAACTTAAACCTGTGACTACTTCCTGAAGTCATTTTCACCTCTTTTTGCCTGGTGGGAACCCTTGGAGAAACTCCCCAGGCTGTCTACTGTCGTACCATTGTGGTATGTGATGGTGTTTACTTGTGATGGCGTTTGCTTCCTGAATTTGGTGGCAGCCAGTTTTTGAGTTGATAAGTTTGATTTTTCTTTCCTGGCAAACGTGGGAAACCGCAAGCCTGATTTTCTCTTTTATCTTCCATGCTTTTACCTCATTCCTTTATCTGACTGTGGACATGTTTTTTATTACGGACTAAAAGTGTATACCAGCTATGAGTCTGATCTTCCTGAAACTTTTTGTTTTCCTTTCCTCCTTTTCCTCCTCTCCCTCTCTGTTTTCCTTTCCTTTATTTACTGATCTCTTTGTTTCTAAAGTCTCGAAATTGTGGAGCTGTTTCTACAGAAATTATGCAAATAGTGTTCCCAGGATTTAGGAGGGTGGTGAGCCGCAGCTGCCTAGACGCGCCTGATTTGACATGACCAGAGTAGTTTTCTGATGAAGTTTCAGCTGATTGCTTCAGTCACATTGTCCAGTGACTGTGATGGATCTTAGTAATTGAGGGCTGCCTCTAAGGAGTATGTAAAATTTAGATTTTATAAAGGAAAATAACCAGCTTCTTTCTTTCTTTTTCTTCTCTCTTCTCCTTCCTTCCTTCCTTCCTTCCTTCCTTCCTTCCTTCCTTCCTTCCTTCCTTCCTGTCTAAGACAGGGTCTTGCTGTGTAGTTCAGGCTGAACTCAAACTTGGGGTGATCCTCCTGCCTCAGCCTCCCCAGTGCTGGGACTACAAGCAAGCACCACAACACCTGGCTAGGATTTGCTATTTTGATCTACCTAATTTGATACTTTCACTTGGTGTGTTTAGATCATTTATATTTAACATAAGTAATGATATAATAATCTGCCATCTTACAAAAATAGTCTTTTCTATTTGTTCTATACTCTGTTCCCCCTTTTTTTTTTTGTTTTGTCTGCTACTTTTGGATTATTTTGCATGATTCTGAAGTTTTTTTTTTTTTTTTTTTTTTAAACTGAGGGGGATTTAACCGGGGGCCTTCAGATTAAGCTACATCACCAGCTTTTTTTTTTTTTTTTTTGGTATCAGAAATTGAACTCAGGGGGCTGGGAGATAGCTCAGTAGAATAAGCGCTTGCCTGACAAGTGCAAGGGCCTGAGTTTGATCCCTGGTTTTGAAAAAAAAAAAAAAAAAAGAAATTGAACTTAGGACCATGCATTTGCCAGGCAAGCACTTATGCCACTGAGCTATCTCCCTGGCCCTCTTTTTTATTTTTAAATTTGAGACAAAGTCTCCTTAAATTGCCTAGATTGGACTCATCCTTGTGCCTCTGCTTCCCAGAGTGCTGTGATTGTGAGCTGCACCTGAATTATGATTGTTTTATCTCTATTGTATTATTATTATTAATGCTGGCTCATTATTATTATTATTTTTTTTTTTTTGTGGAACCGGGGATTGAACTCAGATCCTTGCGTTTGCCAGTCAAGCGCTTATCCTACTGAGCCATCTCCCCAGCCCCCTGGCTCATTATTTATACCTCCTCTTTTGCTTTCTTTTCCTTGTCTTAGTTTTACAATGTAGGTATGTATGTATTTGTTTTTGTCATACTAGGGATTGAACCCAAACCCTTTTGCATGTTAGGCAAGTGTTATAAATCTTTAATTATATTTTTTTATTAAATCTTTAATTATTAACAGTGTACCTTTAAATAATCCTGTATTGTTTTACACGTAATATAAGAACCTTGTACACATATTCTCCTATTTGTCCTTCCCATTCTTTGTGCTGTTGTCATTAGATACTTTTATATGAGCTATAAATCCAGTTTATTGCTACTGCTTTTGCTTTCGCCATCAGTCCTGTTTTGGGATTTTTTTTTTTTTGTTGTTGTTGTTGTTGTTGCACTGGGAATTGAACTCAGGACCTCATCCTTGGCAGGCAGGAGCTGTATCCCTGAGCTGGGCCCCATCAATTGTGTTCTAAGCAATTAAAAATGAACAACTTTACCAGGCTTGGTGGTGCATGCTTGTAAGCCCAGCACTAGAGAGGCTGAGGCAGGCAGGTTACCACAAATTTGAGTTCCAGCTGGGGCTACGTAGTGAGTTCAAGGACATCCTGAACTACATAACAAAGCCCTATCTCAAAAAACCAAAAACAA